TTGATTTTTTGATTTATTGTAGAGATGAGGTCTCGCTGCCCAGGCGGGTCAACCCGCGGGCTCAGGCAATCCGCTCACCTCAGCCTCCCAAAGGCGCAGGATTACAGGCTGAGCCACCGAGCCCGGCTGAAATCTAGATTTTAAAAAACAAAGAATCTCTTTAATTTAAATATTGGCAAGTGACTAAAAAAATACCTGTGCGAATCCAGATAACATCATTGGGGGGGGAGTCCACCATGGACTTCAAGTTGGTACCTGTTGGACTCCCCCAGGCCAGCCCTCCAGGTTTGAAGTCAAGCATCAAGCCCTCCCTTCAGTTAAGCAGTCCCCACATCACCACAGTAGGAACTCCAGGACGGGAAGTGAGCCTTCCTGGAGTCTTTTATTAACGCCTGAGTCTCACACAGTGCCTGGACCCTGGGAGGTGTCGACATGTCTATGAAGTGGATAGAGGATTTCTTCCATGACACATGCTCTAGTCCACTCACCACTTCTGAATGCTCCCACTGGTCTAGCTCTCTGAGGGTGGTCCCCAAGGCCTGCGTGGGGGTGAAGCAGAGCCCACATGGCGGGATTGAAGGCTAGCACTTAGCACTTGCTGGCCCTCCTGCAAGGGAGCCTGCCCGTGCAGCAGCAGCCCGGGGCAAACATTGTGCTTCCCAGACTCCCTCTTGGCCCCGGCTCTGTGTGCAATTTAGGTTCAGTCCCTCGATGGCCTCATAGGAGACAGGAAAACCAGAGGTGAGGTGAGGAGAGGAGGGGGATAGATGTTGGCTGTTTATGTACTGAACAGAGTCATGGGTTCTGGAGGTGACGGGTTTCCTACAATGTCCCCCACTAGCTAGCAGGGTTGCAGGGCAGGCTCGCTCTTCCCAGCTTTGCTCTCTCAGGCATGGGGTCTCCCTGACCACAACAGCAGGGGTGGGGGCTCCCCAGCCTTGCTCTCTCAGGTACAGGGTCACCCCTACCCCAACAGCTGGGGCAGGGGCTTTGATGTCTTGGTTTCTCAGGCACGGGTCACCCTGACCCCAACACCTGGGGCAGGGGCTCTCCAGCCCTGCTCTCTCAGGCACCAGGTTACCCTGACCCCCAAGAGCTGGGGCAGGAGATTCCAGATTCCTGAACCGCAGGTAAGGTGATACATTCCTGCTGTGGGTCCTCAGCCTTCCTGACTGTGTCCAAGATGGTGACCCTCCTGTCAGGCCATGGCTAAGCAACTGCTTTCTGGGTGCCAGTCCCTGAGGCCTGGCCCAGAGCCCACGCCTCATGGCAGCCCAAGGATTTTGTAAGCACCCAACTCCCTGCACTGTGCTCCTTTCTGCTTAAAATAGCCTGAGTGGTCGCTGTTGTTAGGTACTGACTGACCCCTGACTGATACAGTGGAGGACAATTACAGCCCTTGAGGCATCAGGAAGCCAGGAAATTAGCTATGATTAGGCCCTGTGAAGTGTGGGACCACAAGGAGAGAGTGGGGAGGGTGCTAATTAATCTTAGGCCAAGTCTTTTAAATTACACACACTCTGGGGCCTGCCATTAAGCCACAGCCCAAGACACAAACACTCTAGACAATAGAAGGCTCTCAAAACATCTTAAGCCCTAGGTGAGGAGTGGAGAAAAGTTCATTAGTGACAAGTTCATATTCATTGCTGGGGACATGGGAGGCCTCAGGGCTGTGTGCCTCCAGGCTTTGCTCATGGCACTGAGATGGGCAGAGGCACCCTCTGCCATTTAATCAGACTTGGAAGTGCCCCTGTGGGGAAGCTGAAAGACCAGCCGGTTTGCAACCACAGGTCCAAAGTTCAAATCCCAGCCTCCACTCTTCCCTGAGCAGCTCCATGACCCTGAGCAAGTCACCTTACTCTATAACCTCGACGGCACAATGAGGACAGGTTACTGACCTACAGGGTTACTGTCAAGATGGGTTGGGCCCATATAGCATATAGGAGCATTGGCTATAGACCATATATTTGGTACAGTGTAAAATGCTATATGGCAGTAACTCCCAACCTCAGTATATGAAAGGACAGAACATGGATTTAATATGCCCAGTGAGCAGCCATTGTAACATTGCCTAGATCTCATGGTTTTCTTTTTCTTTTTCTTTTTTTTGAGTTGGAGTCTCACTCTGTCGCCCAGACTGGAGTGCAGTGGCCGCTCCCGGCCACCGAAGCCTCGACCTG